ATCTTGCTGCCTGAGAGACCTAGCACTGATCCCTGTTGTACAGCACTGCACACTGGTTTCCAGTCACACAAACAACCTCCTGTATGTATCCTGCCGCCAGGCCAATTTTGGATCCAACTTGCCAAATTATCCTGGATACCATTATCCATTACTTTCTTTATCATTCTCCTATGTCGGACCTTGTCAAAGGCCTTACTGAAGTCCACATAAACTACATCAACTCTACTACCCTCGTCTACACTCCGGATCACTTCCTCAAAACATTCAAATTTAGGCATGACCTCCCTCTGACAAAGCCATGCTGATTATCACTGATCAAACCTTCCTCTCCCCTCCTAATCCCCTTACACTATAACTACTGCAATCAGCATTGGGAAGTCGAAATGCCCTGACATAATCATCTTATTGTTATTTTTTTTAGACACCTTAATGAATTGTCTGCATATCTGCTCCTCTATTTCCTGCTGGACATGGGGGAGCCTGTCACACTCCAAACTATGTGTCTGTTGCCTTAGTATTCCTAAGCTCTACCCACAAAGCCTCATTTGAAAACTTTTCCATGATATCATCCCTCCTACCTGCAGTAACTGACTCCTGAATTAATAATGCAACACCACCTCCTTCTTTATACCCCTCCCTATCTTGCATGAAGATCCTGTACCCTGGAATTTTGAGTTTCCAGTCTTCCCCTTCCTCAACCACACCTTTGGGATGGCAACATTATGAGATTTCCACATCTCAATCCTCGCTTTTAACTCATCTAATCTACAACACTCCTAGAATGAAAGTAAAGACCTCTCAGCCATGCCTTACTCCCTTTAAATCAACAGTACTGAATTCCCATTATGTTGGTTCCTTTACTAAAGCATGCTGTATCCCTATTACACAAAGGCTTTGTGACCACTTCCCCACCAAACTAGTTTAAACCTCTAAGATTTTAGAGTAGATTTGTAGCTCGGGTTGTGGATGTTGTGGTTGGTTGGCTCGCCGAGCCGGTTTGTTGTTCCGCAGGCATTTCATTACCCTGCTGGGTAACATCATCAGCGCGGCCTCTGAAGAAGTGCTGTTGTGTTTTCCCGCCTGTTATTTAAACTCTGGTATCCATTGAGCTGGATTACCTCACTTCCAGTTTTCCTTCGCAATGGAGTGTATACGGGGTCCAGCTCTATGTGTTTATTGAAGGCTTTCTTAGTGGAGTACCAGGCTTCTAGGAATTCCAGTGCTTGTCTCTGCTTTGCCTGTCCCAGGATCCTGGTGTTGTCCCAATCGAATTGGTGGTTTTCCTTACCCATGTGGATGGAGATAAGTGAGTATTGGTTGTGTCTTTTTGTTGCCAATTGATGTTCGTGTACCCTTGTGGTTAATTTCCTTCCTGTTTGCCCAATGTAATGTTGTCGCAGTCTCTGCAGGGAATCTTGTATATGACAATGGTTCTGTCCATAGTGGGTAATGGGTGTTTGGTCCGGGTGAGCAGTTAGCGCAGTGTTGATGTGGGTTTTTGTGCTACTCTGATGCCCAGTGGTCGTAGGAGTCTTGTGGCCAGTTCAGATGTATTCCTGATGTAAGATAGTGTGATGAGTGTGTCGGGGAGTGTAGTATCTTCCTGGTGTCGTGCGTGTGATAGGCATCTTCTGAACCAGTTTTTTGGGTATCCCTTGTCTTTGAATACTTGGAAGAGGTACTCTTCTTCTTCTTGGCGTAGCTCTATGCTGCTGCAGTGTGTTGTTGCCCATTTAAATAATGTTCTCACGCAACTTCGCAACCCTCCAACCTCAGCAACACTCTTGTAAATCTTTTCTGAACCCTTTCAAGTTTCACAACATCCTTCCTATCGTAAGAGACCAGAAATGCATGTAGTGTTCCAAAAGTGGCCGAATCAATGTCATGTTGTACAGCCACAACTGACGTCCCAACTCCTATATCAATTCACTGATCAATAAAGGCAAGCATACCAAATGCTTTCTTCACTATCCAGTCTACTTGCGACTCCACTTTCAAGCAACTATGAACCTGCAGTCCAAGGTCTCTTTGTTCAGCAACACGCCCCAGGATCTTACCATTAAGTGTATAAGTCCTGCCCTGATTTGCCTTTCCAAAATACAGCATCTCACATTTATCTAAATTAAACTCCATCTGCCACGCCTCAGCTCATTGGCCCTTCTGATCAAGATCCCGTTGTACTTTGAGGTAACCTTCTTCACTGTCCACTCCCACTACACCTCCAATTTTGGTGTCATCTGCAAACTTACTAACCATACCTCCCATTTCACATGCAAATCATTTATATAAATGATGAAAAGCAGTGGATCAAGCACCGATCCTTGTGGCGCACTGCTGGTCACAGGCCTCCAGTCTGAAAAGCAACTCCCCACCACCACCCTCTGTCTTCTACAGGGCCAGTTCTGTATCCAAATGGCTAGTTCTCCCTGTATTCCATGTGATCTTGCTAACCTTGCTAACCAGTCTACCCTGATTCATAATTGTATTAAATGGCATAGCAGGCTCGAGGAGCTGAACTGACTTCTCATAGAATTCCTACAGTTTGGAAACATGCCATTCGGCCCATCAAATCCACATCAATCCTCCAAAGAGCATCCCACCTACCCCACCCTCTACCCTAGCCCTGTAACCCTGCATTTCCTTTCGCTAACCTACCTAGTTTGCACATCCCTGGACACTATGGGCAATTTAGCCTGGCCAATCCAGCTAATCTGCAAATCTTTGGGCTATGGGAGGAAGCCCACAGAGACATGGGGAGAATGTGCAAACTCCACACAGGCAATTTCCCGAGGGCAGAATCAAACTTGGGTCCCTGGCTCCGTGGGGAATCAGTGCCACTCCTGCTCCTAGTTCTTATGCTCTTAGGTTCAGGTGCAGACCATCCCACTTGTACAGATCCCACCTTCTGCAGAAACAGTCCCAGTGATCCAGGAATCTAAAACCTCCAATCTGCACCAACTGTGTCGATATCACCTGTCAATATCCCTCCGCAGCCTCATCACTTCCCTCCTCATCTATTTTGATATCATCCACAAACTTGACAATAGTACATTCATTTTCTTTATCCAACTCATTTACATACGCTGTAAGTAATTGTGGTCCCAGCACTGATTCCTGTGGAACTCCACTACTTACAGGTTCTCATCCCTAGTTGTCCTTGAGAAAGTGATATTCTTTTACCATTGCAATCTGTGCCATGTAGATGGCACAGTCTTGTCAAGGGAGTTGAACCATTTTTGACCCAGTGAAAACTACTTTAGGCAGTCTATGACTTGGAGAGAAACTGACGAGTGGTGGCATTCCCCATACATCTGAAACTTTGGTCGTGTTATTTTAGGAGTTGGAAGCTCCTGGTTTGTAAGATGTTTTCAAATAAACTTTGGTGAGTTTCTGCATGCACATAGGGTACCAATCCAATTGACTACTTTGTCCTAATGGTTTCGAAGTTCTTGAGTGTTGTTACAGCTATACTCATCTGGGCAAATGGATGATTTTCCCAAGCACTCCTGACTTGTGTCCTGTAGATGGTGAACTGACTTTGCGAAGTCAGGAGATGAGTTACTTGTTGCAGGATTCCTAGTCTCTGACCTGCTCTTGTATTCATGGTACTTTTACGGCTAGACCAGTTCAATTTCTGGTTAATAGAGATTCCCAAGATGATTCAGTGTTGGTGACACCATTGAATTCAAAGGAGATAGTTAGATTCTCTCTTGTTGAAGACAATCATTGCCTGACACTTATGCAGCAAAACTTTTATTTGGTACTCATCAGCTCAAACCCAGATATTGCTCAGGTCTTGCTGCAAATGGACAGGGACTTCTTCTTTATCTGAGAAGTCACAAATGACACTGAACATTGTGCAATCATCAGAGAATGTCCCCACCGTTGACCTTATGATAGAGAGAAGGTCATTGATGAAGCAGCTAAAGGTGGTTGGACGTGGGACTCTATCCTGAGGAACTCCTGCAGAGATGTTCCGGAGCTGAAATGACTGACCTCCAACAATCACAACGACCTTGCTTTGTGCTGATATGACTCCAACCAATGAAGAGTTTACCCCAATGCCCACTGACCTCAGATCTGCTACGGATCCTTAAGGCCATACTGACGTGCTGGGAGCCTCGATCACTGAAGATGGAGATCCCTGTACAGCCTCCTGTCCTGTTAGTTGTTTAAGTGTTCACCACCATTGGCAGCTGGATGTGGCAGCACTGCTGAGCTTGGATCTGATCCACTGGTTATGGGTTCACTTAGCTCCCTCTACTGTATACTGCTTCCACTGCTTGGCATGCAAGCCCTGTTTTGTACCCTCATCATTTCTTGGCATGGCTGGTGCTAATCCTGGTATGCCCTCCTACACTCTTCATTGAACCAGGGCTCATCTTCTGGCTTGGAGGTGACAGCAGAGTGGGCCATGACTTTACAAACTGCAGTTGAATAAAATTCTGCTGCAGTTGATGGTCCCCAGATCCTTTTGGACATCTGGTTTTAAGTTGTTGGATCTGTTCAAAATACAATGGTGGTGGTACCACATACAGGGTAGAAGAATGTAGGATATTTTTATTTATCTGGTAAAGGCTTAAAAGTGGTTCAAGAATTTTTATATGACAGTATTCCATAAATTGGATGAAACAGACAACTGAGTGTCAAAAGCAAAGGCAGATTTTTGGTCCTTAACATCCAACCCAAGTTAATGGCTTTATTTTGGAAATTCTAGATGCAACAAGGACTACTTGGTTCTCTTCAAACGTGATTAGACTATTTTCATGGCTGCCAACTGCTCTTCAAGTTTCCCCTCCTACGCAAACGTTCTCCCTACACATTGTATCTAAAGTCATCAACTCTTTTCTGAAGTGTAACTATCTTCTTAACATTGCCATTTGCTCATTATACATACCAGGCATAGCACCACACGGATAATTCAATGGCATGTTATTTCAACCATATCACATCAATGACTGAAAATCCTTTAACATTCATTTCTTGCCTTTTGTACTCACTTGTTTGGATTTCCAGACTTCCAGCACAGGCATTCCAGCAATAATTGAATTTGGATCTTCCTGAGCTGCTGAGTTGACAGTGTCATTTGCTCCAATAACTAACACCAATTCAGTTTCTAAAAAAAAAACAGGAATTATTTAAAGGTAATTTGCAAAACAAAAATCAATACCTACATTATCCCTTTCAAGCTTGTTACATCTCACTGGGGTAGCATGCTGAAAATCAAGAACTGCCATTCCCAGAGTCATCAAAAAAAAAGATTTATACAAGTACAAGTGAGGAAGTATAAAATTTCCCAACTTACCTATCTTTCAGACCTAGGTTGACAGACCAGGTTTCTGTACTTAACAAGAACTATTATTTATTACAAATTAATAGATTCCACTTAGAAGTAAACAATTATGAACCCACGACATTAAACTTTACCAAGTAAATCTCTACCCCCATATAAAACTCTCCCTATACGTACAGACAGACAGACAGACGCAAAAACACATTGGTGTTATGGGCAGAGGGAAAGACTGGGAAGGCAGTTCAATGTGCCCTGTTCACGGGGTTTGCTGAGATTATCCTTCTACCTTTTCAGGACTTGTTGCTTCTTAATCTTCCTTCCTCAGAAACTTTCACTTGCTTGCAGGATGGACAGAGCAACTGGTTCACAGTAATAGTGTTTTCAACTTATTAGTTAAAATTCACTGCTTATAGCAACTGATGAAGGGAAATTAGCTGGCTTTCTTCAGGTTTGGGTTGTTTATTCCAGTAGATGGGCGCACATTCCCTTCTTTTCCAAGACCCAATAGTTTCTAACCAAACATTCACAACCACAAGCTGTGCAGCTACCTGAGACCCAATCACATGGTTTTTGAGAGGCATAAGGACCTTGTTATTAACAACTGGTCACTATTCCGCAGACCAACCAGCAACCTGTTGCTGGATGAATCTTCCTTCATACATACTCTTCGGCTCCAGTTCGTTTACAACTAAATCTCCCCCACTGCTTGAACAAATAGCAGTGTAAACAGTACTTATAATGAGTGTTGCCAACCTGCTTTTAACAAATACAGTTATCTGTCCCACAATACTTGCTTTTAAAACAGTCATTTTCCCATTTAAGTCCTCAATCAAAAATATGGAAAAATAAAAAGATACTGTTTTTACAACCTTCAGAAACAAAAGGTGGATTTGGATATTGTTATCAGAGATTTATTCAGATGGCAACTCACTGTAGTCTCATAATCACAGCTCATTATAAAGATGTCTTGGTGGGGGGTAAAGAGACTCATGACAAACCTATTCACAATGATAAGAAAACCTGGTTGAGGGAAAGGGAATGAAACAGCACACTTATTCAGAATATTATCGAGATTTCAGGACTACTAAAAACACTACACAGCCAATAAAATAGTCTGGTGAAAGACTGACATTGATAGTTTCACATGGACAAGTTAGCTGTATTTCCACACAGGAGTCTTACAAACACCAAATCAAACATTTATCTAATTAATTAACTTTTTGTGAAATTTCTGGGGAAGAATGTTGGTCAGGAAGCACAAACAGTTTTTTGGCCTTTTTTGCGTGATGCGATAGGAGTTGTTATATCCACTTGAAGAGGCAGATTGGAGTTAAATTGAATGTTTCATTTGGACGTTGCACTGGAAGTAATAGAATACTATCTCAGTGCTGCAACAAAGTGACAGGAAGGAAAGAATTGCTGCAGTGAACCTACTGGTGACAAAACTCAATGCTTCTCAGCTATTCCTTCAACTATCTATTCAATTCTTCTTTGCTTTATTTACTATACTTTTCTGCTTCCATTAAATGAACAGGGCGAAGTATAGTTTAGGAAGGGACCATCTTTTAATATAGGTTAGACCAAATTAAACACATTGTCACATATACAGTAGGTCAATCAAGATCCCGAAGAGAAAGGCAAGTTAACATTTCTGACTTAATCCTTCATCCATCAAAGGGTTGTACTTCAATGATTTTTACTTTCAAATGCTGATTCACCTGGGTTTCAAATATAATGAATATCACATTTGCAGATTATCTTCCCTTCCCCTACCCTGATCCTTTATTAATGAATATATTTGTATGCCAAACAAAGCGCTCACTTGGTAATAAACAATTTTACAAAAGCTAGAACATCAGCTTCAGTACCTACAGCATTTACCTAGAGCTGGACTTATCTTTCCATTATGAGATGGTCACATATGAAGCAAATGAATCAGACAGGCAGAAAAATTGAGATTGTGTCTTCAAGGTTTAAATTTTATGATCGTACATGCCAGTCCAAAAGAAAACTGGTTGTACTATGCACGCACAATTCAGAATCAAAATGAAAAGCACAGCCAAGTACTCAGTCAATGCAATTTAAACATGGTATGTTGGCCTATATTTGCCTTGCTGTAGTCTAATAAAATTTTTACCGAGTTAATAAAATCTGACCTATTCATTACACAGAAAAATAAATAAAATACATTTTTCTTAAGAAGTTCAGTTCAAGAAGTACACAAACAAAAATGCCTGGGTAACCACAAGATTTTAATTCACTCTGTCCCATTCCCCCCCGCCAAAAAGAGTACTGAAGTTTTGTGAAGAACACTACAGGCCTGAAATCCGCAAGCTGCAGCTGTTGCCTGGTGTTTAAGTTAACTGTGGATGAACCAGAAAGCACAATATAGCCCTTGGACTTTCAGGACTGTCGAATAATTCAGCCCAAGCAGTGGAAAAAATTAAGTAGGTTTGTATAACATTTCATCATTGCCACCTGACTGTACTTACGAGAAAATACTTGTGAGTTAGTAGATATAAGGGACAAATAGGGCACAGTTTTTAAGGGTGAGGGAATGATGGTTTGGGTATGTGTGAAGAGTTAAATTCCCTAAAAGTTACTTGAGGCCAGGTTCCCAATACATTGCCATCCTCTTCCAGGTTTCACTTAGTTGAGTTTGAAAATGGGAAGGGAATCCCATGCAGCTGTCAGATGAGGCACTTAAATATTCAATTTCATTAAGATCTGTTCTCAAATAAGATTTTGGCTTCAATAGAAAATTTGCCAGAAGCAACTGTACAGTGAGGAATGGATCTTCAGTGAAATTGATAGTTTTGATCAGTGAAACTGAAGGGCTCCAGCCATGGTTAAGTACGTTACTGCTCCTCAGAGTATGTTTTCACTACTTGACAGAGATCACCAAAACCTTGGTGTAGTGATTATAACAAGGTCAACCAGGTGGGCATCATAGAATATGAGTCCCCTGATTAGGGCCATTAACCTGGTCCAATCAGGGAGCCCTGGCTGACAGATAGAAAGACGAGTGTCAGACATCCTGGTCACTCTGAGAGCTGGCTGTGAAGGAGCTGGATCAGTGTCAAGGACTTTCCACGTGTAAATAGAGGATGACTTGGTGACGGAATACCGGCTTCTCTGGAGTTATATCAATGGACATGACAGAAAAACTCACTCCTGAAAAATTTGTTCACGGCAGTTGTCTTTGATTTGATGTAAGCATTTCAGGCATCATGCTTTTATTTGGGGAAGCTTGACAAATCTGATTCTGCTGTCAAAAACTGGGCCTAGTTGTGGAAAGACTGCGTTTTTGTTTCCAGGTAAACAACATTGAACCAGATGAAAAGCAATGGGTATTTATCCTGACAGCTTGTGGACCCACAGCTTTTTTGGTTATTAGGAGCCTGTCTTTTCCTGAGGCACCAGATAATAAAAACCTTTCAAGAGATGACAGATTTGTTTAAGGAATATTACGACCCTGAGCCTTCCCTAATTCTGTGATGCTATTGGTTTTACTTGGCAGTTCGAAAACTGGGGAATGCACAGCAGGACTTTTGATGAGGTTAAGATGACTGGAAGAGGCATGTGACTTTGGATTCATCCTTAATGAGATGCTGAGAGACCATTTGGTATGTGGGATTAATGATGTAACCATGCAAAAACACCTACTAGCTGAGCCCAACTGGACTTCAAACAGGCACTACAACTGGCTTTACCAATGAAAATTGCAGCAAGTGGAGCTTATGAGTTGGAGGGTATTCCAATGGAAGTGGACATTCTCACCAGTCCCACTGAGCTTGTTGGGGAACACCACTTGAGTGAAGGCAATTGCATAGCCTCACAGAGGACATATCCTGAACAGAGGGACTCCAGGTTAGCCTGCAGCAAAGCCCCAAAACAAAGCCAAGCCTCAGTCAAATGGTTAAAATTTCTTCAGGATCCCAGCCGGCAGGCCATTGTGGTTGCTGCCGGTATGCAGGCCCGAGACAGCAAAGAGGCCCACTAGGTCTAAATTGAGTCAGTGAACTCATAGGCCAGTATCCAGGACAGCGCACACCCTGGAAAGTCCAGCTACATCTGGTTTGGAACAGTTAATTTGCTTAGCTACAATCAAATCAGAACCAATCAAAATAAACGCTTGGTTAAACGGTCACCTGGTTGTAATAGAGATCGATACCGGTGTGGCTGTATCAGCGATTACAGAATCAGTCTTTACCAAAGTTCACCTTGGACTCCAACCCTTAAATTTGCACAAGACCTCAGCTAGACTGAGAACCTATACCAAGGAACCTTTATAGATTAAAGGTGCAACTTTGATTCTGGCCTCTTATGAGAAGCAGCTGGTTCAGTTACTACTGACTGTAATAAAAGGCTTGGGCCTAAGCTTAATGGGGCTAAATTAGTTGATAAAGATTCACATACATTGGCTCAACATTTTTCAATTAAAAAATGGCTGCCTGAATGAAGTCGTAATTAAATACCCAGATGATTTCCAGGAAGGTCTAGGAACTGTCAAAGGAGCCAAGGCCATTTTGCATATTGACCAAGAAGTAATTCCATGATTCTGCAAGGCCAGCCCAGTGCCATTTGCTTTATGGGCAAAAGAAGAGGCAGAAATCAGGAGGCTGGAAAGCCAAGGAATAATCAAACCAGTACAGTTTGTGGAGTGGGCAGCACTGGTCATACCAACTGTGAAGCCATGTGGGTCAGTTTGCCCTTGTGGGGATTGCAAACAAATGATAAAGCACTTTTTGCAGCTGGATAAATACCCAATTCCTCACATAGAGGATTTATACGCAGAGCTGGCAGGGGGTGCTGTCCTTCAC